TTGACTCTACCGACAAGATGTGGTATCTTGATAGAGGATGCTCAAGACACATGACGGGTGACATATCTCTATTCATTGACTTTGTGCCAAATAAAAATGGGTTCTTCACTTATAGAGACAATAACAAGGGAGAAATACTTGGAAAATGTAGTGTAGGTAATCCTATATCTACTACTATCTCCGATGTTATGTTAGTTTATGGTCTTAAGCATAACCTTCTTAGAATTAGTCAACTTTGTGACAAGGGTTTTAAAGTTACTTTTACAAATACTTGTTACTTCTTTGTACATGATGAAAAGAAGGAATATATTTTTAAAGGATTGAGGTTTAATAACACTTATATGCTTAACTTAGATCAAGTATCCTTGGTTGGAACTAAGTGCCTAGCTACCGTGAGTGAAAACTCTTGTTTATGGCATAGACGCCTAGCTCATATCAACTTTGACTTACTAAAGAAAGTAACCTCAAAGATTTAGTAATTGATCTAACAAAAATGAAGTTCACAAAAGACCATCTATGTGAAGTGTGTCATGGGAAAGCAAACGAGAATCTCTTTTAAATCGAAAAACCATGTTTCTACTTCGAGAACTCTTGAGCTTCTTCATATGAACCTCTTTGGTCCCTCGTTGACCAAAAGCGTCGGTGGAAACTATTATGGCTTTATGATTGTAGATGATTACTCAAGATTTTGGTTGATTATGTTTTTGTCTAGTAAAGATGAAACATATCCGGCTTTTAAAAAATTTGCTAGATTGTTCCAAAATAAGATGAATTTGAAAAAAAATTCCATATGAAGTGATCATGGAGGAGAATTTCAAAATCTCCTCTTTGAGAAGTATTGTAAAAAATATGGCATCGAGCATAACTTCTCCGCTCATATAACTCCACAATAAAATGGTGTTGTGGAGCATAAGAGTTGTGTTTTAGAGGAGTTGGCGAGGATTATGCGTAATGAAGGTAATCTACCAAAGTACTTATGGGGTAGATGCCATTAACATGGCTTGTTATATTTTGAATAGGATTATAATATGTCTTATTATAGACAAAACTCCATATGAACTACTTACAGGAAGAAAACCTAATGTTTCTCATCTACATGTTTTCGAATGTAAATGTTATATTTTGAACAATGGGAAGGAAAATCTTAGAAAATTTGATGCAAAAGCCGACGAGTGTATCTTCCTTGGATACTCACAATCTATTAAAGTGTATAGGGTTTATAACAAAAGATTACTTATTAGTTGAAGAGTCGGTACATGTTACGTTTGATGAGTCATATCGGAAAAATATTGGGAAAGGTGCTTCTTTTCATGATGTAGGTGTATTTTCACATGAAATTCTCAATGGAACCGAATAAGGAATTGGTCAACCTAAAGTGGTGGAACATAAGAAGGAAGAAGATAACGATCGTGAAGACGAGAAGGTTGAAAGTCCAGCTGCAGTGGAAGGTCTACCTTTGACTTGGAAAACATCCAAAGATCATCCTATCGACAACATACTTAGGGACATCACCAAAGGCATGACAACATGCTCCAAGATAAGTAATTTTTGTTATCACTTTGCATTTGTTTCTCAAGTTAAACCTAAAAATGCTAAAGATGCATTACTTGATGAGCATTGGCTTATGGCCATGCAATATGAAATAAACCAATTTAAAAGGAATGATGTTTGGGACCTTTCCCCTCGCCCTAAAAATCATCAAGTAATTGGCACCCGATGGATTTTTAGAAATAAGCTTGACGAAAATGGAGTAATAACTCGTGATAAATCTCGGCTAGTGGCTTAAGGTTATAAATAAGAGGTGGGCATCGACTATGAGGATACTTATGCTCCGGTTGCTCGCCTTGAGGCTATACGCCTTCTACTAGCTTATGCTTGCACCATAAATTTCAAGTTATTTTAAATGAACGTGAAAAGTGTGTTCCTAAATAGCTACATTAATAAGGAAGTGTATGTAGATCAACCCCCCGATTTTGAAAGTCATGAGTATCCAAATCATGTTTACAAATTCAAAAGTGCTTTGTATGGTCTCAAACAATCCCCTCAGGCTTGGTATGAGCAACTAAGTAAATTTTTAATAGATTAAGGATACTCTAGGGGAAAATTATATACTACACTTTTCATTAAACACCAAGGAAAGCATACTCTTCTAGTTCAAGTTTATGCTGATGATATTATTTTTGGATCCACTAACATGCAACTTGTAGAAGATTTTTCTAAGCTTATGCAGGGCGAGTTTGAGATGAGCCTTATAGGGGATTTAAATTTTTTCCTTGGTCTTCAAATAAAACAACTCAATGAAGGTACATTTGTATGTCAAACCAAATATTACAAGGACTTGCTAAAGAGATTTGGCATGGAAGATGCAAAATCCATTGATACTTATATGGCCACAAATGAAAACTTGGAAAAGAATGAAAATGGTAAGGATGTAGATATGAATAAACATAGAGGTATGATTGGTTCTCTTATATATCTTACTGCATCTAGGATGAATATTATGTTTAGCGTGTATATGTGCGCTCGTTATCAATCGGCTCCTAAAGAATCTCACTTAAAAACCATCAAACGCATTCTTAAGTATCTTCATGGTACTTCTAAGTATGGGTTATGGTATTCTAAGGGAAGAGATTGTAATTTGGTTGGTTATATCGATTCCGATTTTTCCGGTCTCAAATCGGATAGGAAAATTACTAGTGGAACTTGCCACGTGTTTTCAAATGCCTTAGTAAGTTGGCATAGCAAGAAACAAGTTTCGGTTGCTTTATCAACTGCCGAGGCGGAATACATAACAGTCGATAGTTGTTGTGCCCAAATTTTGTGGCTTAAACAATAGCTACTTGATTTTGATATAAAACTACAATGTATTCCTATTATGCGCAACAACACTAGTGTTATTAATCTAACCAAAAAGCAGGTGTTACATTCTCGCACTAAGCATATTGAGATTCGTCACTACTCCCTACATGACCATGTCGAAAAATGGAATGTCGCATTTGAGCGTGTTGATAGTAAAAATTAACTTGCGGATATTTTTACAAAACCTCTTGCGACTAAGCCATTTTTCAACATTCGAAGGGAATTGGGGATACTTGATATCTCAAATTTTGCCTAAATATGAATTGTTGCATGCACTTTATATACTTTTACTCTAACTTTCCTTGAAATTTATATTACTTAAGAGAGCATCCTTTATCAACTCATAAGCGATGTAATATTGTTCAATTTTCCGTTTCTTTTGTAAGCTTTTATTGTTACATGTATCGTGTATTTCAAATAATTGATATTCTTGATGCATGAAATAGTTCATGAATACTCACTTCCAAAAATTTCTATTGATATATGTCAATTATATGCTTATAGTGATTTTGTGTTATTCCATCTATATGCTTGAAATATACTTTTTGGTGCATTTGGCTTGTTATGTATTCTTGCATGAAATATGGTTGAACATGTTATAATGTTGGTAAAAATTTTGTTGTGTGTCATTGTTATGATAACATCTCTGTTTTTGGTTTGAGTGGTGATAAATTAGTATATCTCCTTGCTATAGCACATGCGTGTGCTGCATTTCGGGAGCACCAAAGGCATATGTCACGTAATCGTGTCGCCTTTGTAGCAAACTCAAGAGTTTTTATTACATTGTATATTTCATGTTTCATGTGTGTGTTATGTTTTTTGGTATAAAGTGTAACAATTATGTTCTATTGTTGCTTAATATGCTTTTATTTTTGTTTAGGCATTCTTTTTCAATATGAAAATTATTTTATGTGAGTGTTATCATGTTGATGTTCTTATCTTTGCAAAATGTCTCTGTATGGTATATTAGTTTGTATGTGATATAAGATACTTCTCATTGTTTTCTTTGTCTCTTTTTGATGTTGTCAAATGGGGAGAAGTATACAAGATGAAGTTGGATGCATGTATTAAAGGGCATGAAGGCACAAAACATCGTGAAACACATCGTCTCATGTTTTGCCATCATCAAAAGGGGGAGTATGTGAGTGCAACTTTCTGTTAGATGTTTTTTGAATGATGTCAAAACTAGGATAGTTTAGCGTTAATGTATCTTGGACAG